AATTATATAATTAAAATATTTTATAAAACATTAGTGTTAAAAATAAAATTTATTTTTATAAATATTTTATAAAAATTAATAATAAAAAATAATAAATACTCTATTAATTTTTCAAATATAACATATGGCATAAATTAGTTTAACATAGCTTCTTCGAATGTTCTTCACCCTCAACCAAGGTTTTTAAAATTGAACTGATCAATGAACTGTTTTAGTTTCGATTCTCAATTCAACTGGTTCAACCAATCAATCGGTCAGCTCAACATAGAAAGGAGATTTGAGGGGCAATGTCCAAGCCTCTTGAATTTTAAATGTTCAACACTTCAACTTCAACATTATTTCCTGCTACCTCGATCATTTTTAACAACTTTTTAACATAAATATATTACGTTTTTACTTTGAAAACTCATCAAATAATCTCAATTATAATTCTCAAAACAAAATATATATGGAAAAACAGCACCAGTGTCGATGAGAGCAGAGACCAACATTGGTGAGAGCAAACTAGTAGAAATCAGGGCCGATGAAGTGAAAGAAAGTAGATCAACAAAAAGCAGTTCCAGACTTCCAATGAGAGCAGATCAGCAGATAGCACAACAGAGAGCAGCTTCAGTGAGAGCAGATCAGCATAAAGTAGAGAGTAGCTTTGGCGAAAGTACATCAGTAGAAGGCAGAGAGCAGCTTCGATGAGAGCAGATCAACAGAAAGTAGAGAATAACGTCGGAGATCGAACACAACAGAGAAGGAGGGTAGCGCTGGCAATGTCGGAGAGGGTAGAGAGGTAGAGAACTTGGGTTGGGAGTCGAGGGTTTTCACAAACAATTTCAGATTTCAGATTTTCAGCTTGAGATTTTAATTTAGTTTTTGATGATTTTGCAATTTTTTTGAAATTAAGGTTACAACCGATATAACAAAGGAATGGTGGGGTGAAATTGGTAAGAATACTGCATGCTAAATTGAACATGTGGTTTTTTCGGTTTCACCGATTCCATTGATTCCACTGGGTTTGAACGATTTTGACATACAAATGGGTCTCTTATGCAAACTGACCCATTTTCACTATCGGGTAGTGGTTTGACTGATTCAACTGGCCAAGCTGGTCTGGTTTTAAAAACCTTGCCCTCAACCAAATCCTATCCAACCTAGGAATCAAGAGGTTGAATGGAATTATGGAAGTACGAGTGGAAATTATCGGTGGGGTACGAGATTTTAAAGGCAAATGAAGTGAAACCTCGTGGAAGTTTAAATGAAACACAAACGAAACCTCAAAATCGTGTTGATACAATCTCATTTGGGCAAATATTATCGCCGAAAAGGATATTTTAGCCCATGTACTTTTTGATATTGTTGAAATTAATCTCGTAACTTTTTTTTGTAATATTTGAACCCATCACTTATATATTGAAGTAAATTAACACACTTAATTTTTTATTGAAATAAATTAACCCAAATCTAACATATAGCATCATGAAACGTCAGTTTACAATGAAATTCAATTACTTACCATTAATACATTAATGACTTGACACATGAGACCCAATTTAATGACATGGTATGATATGAATTACTTTTTAATTATTCAATCCATCAAATTTACTATTTTATCCTCATCTTCTTCCTCAACATCCTTTTCCTCCAATCTTCTTCATTCATTCCAAATCAAACAACCAATTCAATGAGATCAATTAATTCATCATCATCATCAAACAAAATTTCCTCTTTGACGATTCAAATTCATCTTCTTCCAACAACTTCAAATCCTTTCTGAGGCAAAAAAATGTTAGGATCAGGAACCTTGCATTCCAAATCTCACCCAAATTAATCTTAATTCAAACCGATGCAAACTACAAAAAAGGCAATCCAAGGTTGTAGCAAGGAAAATCTCGGCTTTCTAAGTCGTGATCGACACCACCACAGCACTGCACCACCACCACCAAGTTCTCGAACTCAATGAATCTGTTGGGTTCAATCGAATCCAACGAATCTACTGGGTATTAAACCCAACAGAGGTGCTGGGTTCTATTAAACCCAACAGAGGTGCTGGGTTCCATCGAATCCAACGAATCTGTTGGGTATCAAACCCAATAGATTTGCTGGGTTCGATTAAACTTAGTGAATCTGTTAGGTTCTCGAATCCAACGAATTAGGTGGGTATGGTACCCAGCGAATCCGCTGGATTTGATCGAACCAACCAAGTCTGCTAGGTATGAAACCCAGTAGCTCTACAACCCTTGCAAATCCAGTAGCTCTGTAACCCTTGCGAACCCAACAGCTCTGCAACCCAGCAAGGGCAGAGGAAAGAGAAAGGGAAGAGGAAAGATAAAAGGAGAGATGAATAGATGGTTTCACGGTAAATTGATGTTTGACGACGTCATACGTTAAATTTGGGCTAATTTATTTCAACCGAAAATGTGTTAATCTATTTCAATATATAAGTGATGGGATTTAAATATTACAAAAAAAAAATTACAAGGTTAATCTCAACCATATCAAAAAATACATGAGTTAAAATATCCTTTTCACCAATATTATCAATTGGGAAAGTTTCCTTTCATTAGAAAAAGTGAAAAATAGTTTATTAGAAGTCAAAAGTTGTTTGAAACTTCCATGCGACGTATTAACCATGTGAAAAATAGGGTTGAAGTACGATTTTGGTCCTTCAATTTTTTACTTTGGTATCAAAATTGTCCCTCAACTTTAAAAAGTACCAACTTTAAAAAGTACCAAAATTATCCTTAAACTTTCATTTTCGATACCAAAATGGTCATTCCGTCAGTTAAATGACAGGTGGCACATTAAAATGCCACAAAATCAATTCTTTTTTTGCTTGACTAATGATATGGAAAAAAAACACACAATTGGCCATCTTTTTTTATGAGGTGGTAATTTTATTTAATTTAAAATTTTTGATATCCGTTTTTTCCATCCACGTCATCTCTTCTTCCTCTTTCACTTTCTCTCTCCTTTATCTTTCCTTTTCCCTTACCTCTACAAACCCATATCTAGGTTCTCTCTCAAACTTCATCTTTTTCCTCCTTTTCTCCTACCTTTCCTTGCTCATCTTTCTTCTTTCTTCTTCTTATTCTTTCTCTCTCTCTCTTCTCCCTTCTTTTTCCTCTCTCAAACCCAGATCTGGGTTTTATAATTGAACAAGCAATTGAAGGTATCAAATCCACAATCCATTCTAACCAGATACAATGGAAACAATAGATTAGACAGACCATTAATATTTGCAGGATCATCCCATGTACCAAATCTAAAATGATTGTTCTTAAGAGAGCTATTTAGGAAATAAAAATTGTGGCCCAAAAAATTCCCATAATCAAATAATAATTTTTCTCAGTTCCTGCCACTTTCCTAACAGCCAACTGGAATTTCTATACCTAAGAGTTGCCAAATCTAACTAAATGCGCACTGAACTTCACAATGGATCAAATTCAAAACAGAAATACACAATATTCACAAGAAGTTTTGGCGTTGACATGAGTAAGAAAAGTGACAATCTTCTTCATCTGCATAACCTTCCCTCCAGTGGTCCCAAAACCAAGCGGCTCATATATAGCTGCGGCGAGAATAAAAGACTGGTAGTCTCAAAACCCCACCGCATGTGCCACCGGTGAATTCCTCTTGGAAAAAAAGCTCCTTGAAGTTGTAAACCTGGAACAAATCTGATTAGGTTTGATTGCAACAGTATTGTGACCACCAGGAATACTCCCACCCCTGTGTACACACCTTCCCTTTCACTGTCTTCACCAGAATCTTCTTATCATCCCCATTCACAATCACCGCCGATTCGCCAGCACTGTTGTGGCAAGAGAAAGGTTTTTTCTTATCCTCTCTCAAACCCAGATCTGCAAAAATAACTTGTTTTGAGCACTGCATCACATTTTTTGTAGTCCATGGTTTAAATCCAAACCAAACCTTATATTTGTAGATCTACAGAAATCCAAACTAAATACCTTAAAAAGAGCATCTCTGCCACAACAAATTCCAAACAACAGAACCACAAAATAACAGTTTTGAGCACTGCATCACATGGACTCTAGCAAAGAAGTGAATCAAGCAGACTCTTCAATTTCTCAAACCCAAATAGAAGTAGGCAATGGCATACTGTAGGAATTCGTTGATGAGGAAAGGAAAATCGCGAGAGTTGATGAGGAAAGATCACCAGAAGTTAGAGAAAACTCCAGAAAAGAAGTGAATTGAGCATAGAACTCTTCGACGACACCACTAATGTTCCGTCTGAGCTTGTTGTATCAAACAACTGGAATTGGTTATCGAAACCCTAATCCTACAGTGTGCTAAAAGGAATCAAGAACCAAATGGATGATAAAGAAAGTGACAATAAAGCAGAGGCAAAGCAACATTGGGAATGGCTGTGATGAAACCTAGATCTGGGCTTTTCTCAAAATTGTTACCGGAGGTAGGTGAAAGATTTATAGATCGGGAGAGTTCAAGATCTTGAGGAAACTAAGAACAATGACTTGGCTCCTAGGACATTGGAAAATAGCAGAGTTGTTGATCGGTGTAGAACAACCTTCATCATCTAGGGTTAGCGTCATAGGGACGCGTAAAACGGAAGACAAAAGGAATTGGTAGAAACGAAAACTCTTTTATGAACATTGTAGCCAAAGAGAAAAACATTTGGTTTGCGTACATAAGGGAAGAGGAGAGGACAACTGACGCTGCTTTCGAGTTGAAGTTCTTGAGACAAATCCAGATCTGGGTTTGAGAAAAATCCAAATCTGGAGAGGAAGAAAGGATTTTTTTTTTCTGACGTAGATAACAAAAAAAGAATCATTATTTTTAAATTAAATAAAAATACCAACTCATAAAAAAATATTGCCAAGTGTGCTTTTTTATTTTTCATGTCATTAGTTAAGAAAAAAAGAATTAATTTGCTGGCAAGTTAACGTATCACTTGTCATTTAACTAACGAAATAATTATTTTGATATTGAAAATGAAAATTTAAAGATAATTTTGATACTTTTTAAAATTAAAAGGTAATTTTGATACTAAAATAAAAAATTAAAGGACCAAAATGTTACTTTAACTCGAAAAATAGTGACCGGCAGTCAAGATGACTCGCATGCATGCGTGGTCCGACGTCTTTAACAGTAACCATGTCCGCCTACGACGACAATTTATGAGATGATGAGTCAGCCTAAGGACATTTGTTTGCCCATGTCTATGTCAGATTTGGGGGATTGTACCCTTAAATACTTTTTTTAAAATCTCTCATCATTTTTTATTTTTTAAAAATAATATAAATAAATATATAAATTATTTTAAAATTTTTATTTGAAAAAAATATCAAAACGTCACATACATTTTAGAATCGAGTATCTTTTCATGTAGACCAAAATTCTTTCGGGTGTAATTGGTTTAAAAAAACTAAAGAAAGAAGAAATAACTCTTTCATTTAAACAAGTAAAAAAATAAAAAATAAAATAAAGTACTTCATCCTTTATTATCTCTTAATTTTTTTGAGCTGTTATTATCTCTTAATTTTATTATTAACTAAATAGATAAATGGTTTCCACTATCACTCTCTCCTTCCAAATTAAATATATTTTTTTAAAAATGTTTTAATATTGAGATATCTGAGCAAAAAAATCTCAATGAAACCTTAAATTGGTAACTAATTAAGGTGGACATGACAAGCTAAAGTCGTAGATTAGTCATCCTGGCGGTTGTTAATTACATAATTTGCTACTACCTACTCTAAAAAAGTGTTACTTTTTAATTTTTTTAAAATAATATAAAATTAATTTATGTATTTATTTATATTATTTTTAAAAATAAAATAAAATGTAAA